TCATGGTAACCATCGTCATCATCAACACCTTCATCGTCGTCGTCATTATCGTCAAGGTAACCATCCTCGTCGTCATCATCACCATCATCGTCGTCTTATCGTCATGGTAACCATCGCCGTCGTCATTATCGTCATGGTAACCATCCTCATCGTCATCATCACCATCATCGTCATGGTAACCATCGTCGTCATGGTAACCATCGTCGTCGTCATGGTAACCATGTCGTTGTGGTGTGTGGACAGACCACAGTTTCTTCGTGGGCGAGTGGCAGAGGCGGTGGTGCGTGCTCAGCTCCAACGCCCTCTACTACTACGGGACCGCAAAGGTAGTACTAATACTGGTATAGTACCACCACTACTACTACTAGTAGTAGTGGTCATGGTAACCATCGCCGTCGTCATTATACTATACTAGTAGTAGTGGTACTACTAATACTACTACCGCTACTACTACTTATACCGCTACTACTACTACTACTTACTACTACAGCTACTACTACTTATACCGCTACTACTACTACTAATACTACTACCGCTACTACTAATTATACCGCTACTACTACTACTAACTACTACCGCTACTACTACTTATACCGCTACTACTACCACTACTACACACTATACTAACTACCGCTAACTACTTATCCGCACTACTACTAAACTACTAACCGCTACTACTACTTATACCGCTACTACTACACTATACTACTACCGCTACTACTACTTATACCGCTACTACTAACACTACTACTACTACTACACTACTACTACTTATACCGCTACTACTACCACTACTACTACTACCGCTACTACTACTTATCCGCTAACTACTACTACTATACTACTACCGCTACTACTACTTATACCGCTACTACTACTACTACTACTACCGCTACTACTACTTATACCGCTACTACTACTACTACTACCGCTACTACTACTTATACCGCTACTACTACCACTACTACTACTACCGCTACTACTACTTATACCGCTACTACTACTACTAATACTACTACCGCTACTACTACTTAACCGCTACTACTACTACTACTACTACGCTACTACTACTTATACCGCTACTACTACTACTACTACTACTACTCCGCTACTACTACTTATACCGCTACTACTACCACTACTACTACTACCCGCTACTACTACTTATACCGCTACTACTACTAATACTACTACCGCTACTACTACTTATAACCGCTACTACTACCACTATACTACTACTACCGCTACTACTACTTATACCCTACGCTACTACTACACACTACTACTACTATGATGATCGACGACGACGACAATGGTGACGACGATGATGGTAAACAATGACTATGACGACGACGATGATGACGTGATATGATGACGACGACGATGACGAGATGACTAATGATGATGACGACAACGATGACGACGATGATGACGATGACGACGATGATGACGAAAACGATGACGACGATGATGATGATGATGATGACGATGACGACGACGATGACGACGATGTGACGACAACGTGACGACGATGATGACGATGACGACGACAACGATGACGATTATAAGACGATGATGATGTGATGACTATGCTGATGACTACGACGACGACGACAACGACGACGATGATGACGACGACGACGACGACGATGAACGACGACGACGATGGTGACGATGATGATGATGACGATGACGACGATGATGACGACGACGACGATGATGACGACGATGATACGATGATGACGACGATGATGACGATGACGACGATGGTGACGATGATGACGACGACGACGCGATGATGACGACGACGATGATGACGATGACGACGATGGTGACGATGATGATGATGACGATGACGACGATGATGACGATGACGACGATGATGACGACGACAATGATGACGACAACGATGACGACGACGACGACGCTGCCCCGCTGCCCCTGCGCCTCACAGACAAGCAGCAGAAGGAGCGGTGCCTCTGGCCGGCTACTCGCTGCGCCCCGCCGAGGCGACCCGCAAGGACAGGAAGCTGCTGCAGCTTTCGAGCTCTCGGCTCCGGACAAGCGCAGCTTCCAGGTGCCACTCAGACCCGTGACACCCTCCCCAGCTGTGCTGAGCTGTGGTGAGCTGTGGTGAGCTGTGATGAGCTCACCAGCTCACCAGCTCACCAACTCACCAGCTCACCAACTCACCAGCTCACCAGCTCACACCAGCTCAGCACCTCACCAGCTCACCACTCCCAACTCACCAGCTCACCCAACTCACCAACTCAACAGCTCACCCGCTCACCAGCTCACCAACTCACCAGCTCACCAGCTCAACAACTCACCAACTCTCCAGCTCACCAGCTCACCATCTCAACAACTCACCAACTCAACAGCTCACCAGCTCACCAACTCACCAACTCACCAGCTCACCAGCTCACCAGCTCACCAGCTCAAACTCACAAACTCACCACTCAACAACTCACCAGCTCACCAGCTCACCAGCTCAGCAGCTCACCAGCTCACCAGCTCACCAGCTCACCCGCTCACCAACTCACCAACTCACCAGCTCACCAGCTCACCAACTCACCAACTCACCACTCACCAGCTCACCAACTCACCACTCACCAGCTCACCAGCTCACCAGCTCAGCACCTCACCAGCTCACCAGCTCACTAACTCACCAACTCACCAACTCACCAACTCACCAGCTCACCAACTCACCAGCTCACTCACCAGCAGCTCACCAGCTCACCAACTCACCAGCTCACCAGCTCAGCACTCACCAGCTCAGCACCTCACCAGCTCACCAGCTCACCAGCTCACCAACTCACCAACTCAACAACTCACCAGCCTCACCAGCTCACCAGCTCACCAACTCACCAGCTCACCAACTCACCAACTCACCAACTCACAACTCACCAGCTCACCAGCTCACCCAGCTCAGCAGCTCACCAGCTCAGCAGCTCACCAGCTCAACAACTCACCAGCTCTCCAGCTCGCAGCTCACCAGCTCACCAGCTCTTCCAGCTCAGCACCCACCGAGCTCACCAGCTCAACAACTCACCGGTTTCAACAACTCACCAGCTCACCAGCTCAGCAGCTCTATCAACTCACCAGCTCACCAGCTCACCAGCTCAGCAGCTTAACAACTCCACCAACTCACCAGCTCACCAGCTCACCAGCTCAACAACTCACCAACTCAGCAGCTCAGCAGCTCACCAGCTCAACAACTCACCAACTCACCAGCTCACCAGCTCAACAGCTCAACAACTCACCAACTCACCAGCTCACCAGCTCATCAGCTCAACAACTCACCAACTCACCAGCTCACCAGATTAACAACTCACCAGCTCACCAGCTCACCAGCTCACCAGCTCAACAACTCACCAACTCACCAGCTCACCAGCTCAACAACTCACCAACTCACCAGCTCACCAGCTCACCAGCTCAACAACTCACCAGCTCACCAGCTCACCAGCTCACCAGCTCACCAGCTCAGCAGCTTAACAACTCACCAACTCACCCAGCTCACCAGCTCACCAGCTCAACAACTCACCAACTCACCAGCTCACCAGCTCAGCAGCTCACCAACTCACCAACTCACCAGCTCACCAGCTCAACAACTCACCAGCTCACCAGCTCAACAACTCACCAACTCACCAGCTCACCAGCTCAGCAGCTCACCAGCTCAGTGTGTGACTCTAGACTAACTGCGTTGTTGTTGCTGTTGTTGGTAACGAAACGTCCACCTCGTTTCAGTTTTCCACCTCCACCGCCGACGATGCCCGCTCGTGGATGAGTTACATCCGGCAAGTCATCCGGGGTACGTGCGGTTTGTTGTTGTTGTTGTTGTGGTGGTTGTGGCTGTTGTTGTTGTTGTGGCTGTTGTTCCTGTGGCTGTTGTTGTGATTGTTGTTGTGGCGGTGGTTGTTGTTGTGGCTAGTGTTGTTGTGATTGTTGTTGTTGTTGTGGCTGTTGTTCTTGTGGCTGTTGTTGTTGTGGTTGCTGTTGTTGTGATTGTTATTGTGGCGGTGGTTGTTGTGGCTAGTGTTGTTTGGCAGTTGTTGTAGCTGTTGTCGTTGATGTAGCTGTTGTTGTGGTTGTTGTTGTTGATGTAGCTGTTGTTGTTGTTGTGGCTTAGACTTGCGCTCCTCTGTGATCGAGGAAGAGGAGGACGAGGATGAGGATGGTGGAGACCTCTACGATGACATCGATCCGATAGAGCAGGTCAAGGCCACGCCGCCAGCAACCGCGGTGCACAAGGAGGTGGCCGTGGATCCAATCGATGAGGACATCTATGAACTCCTGCCAGGTGATGGTAGTGATAGTGGTGGTGATGATGGTGATGATGGTGATGATGGTGGTGGTGGTGATGATGATGGTGATGATGGTGGTGGTGGTGGTGATGATGGTGGTGGTGGTGATGATGGTGATGATAGGGTGATGATGAGAGGGTGATGATGATGATGGTGGTGGTGATGATGGTGATGATAGGGTGATGATGATGAGATGGTGATGATGGTCATGATGATGGTGATGATGATGGTGATGATGATGAGATGGTGATGATGGTCATGATGATAGGGATCATAGATGGTGATGATGGTGATGATAGGGTGGTGATGATGATGATGATGAGAGGGTGATAATGATAGTGATGATGGTGATGATGGTGATGATGATGGTGGTGATGATGGTGGTGATGATGATGGTGATAATGATAATGATGGTAATAATGATGATGATGGTGGTGGTGATGGTGATGATAGTGATGATAGATGGTGATGATGGTGATAATGATAGTGATGATGGTGATGGTGGTGATGATGATGGTGATGGTGAATATGGTGGTGATAATGATGATAGTGATGCTGGTAATGATGATGGTGGTGATGGTGGTGGTGGTGATGATGGTGATTATCGTTAACACCCACCATCAACCATCTCACCACCACTCAACTCACCACCGCCCAACTCACCACCCATCTCACCACCACCCACCACCACCCATCTCACCATCACCCATCTCACCACCCACCACCCATCTCACCACCACCACCCATCTCACCATCACCCATCTCACCACCACCCACCACCCATCTCACCACCCATCTCACCACCACCACCCATCTCACCATCACCCATCTCACCACCACCCACCACCCATCTCACCACCCATCTCACCACCCACCACCCACCACCACCACCCACAACCCACCCACCACCACCCAACTCACCGTTCACCACCCACCACCACCAATTTTTAGCATTCACCACTCACTACCTCCACCCATCCCACCCCCCAGCCCCCAGCCCCCACCCCCAGCCCCCACCCCCCGCTCGCTATCCACAAACTCGACGTGACAGCCGCGAGCCCGAGAGATGATTGCGCAATCGGGACGACGTTCCGGCCTGGTGCCCCCTCGCTCCGCGGGTCGCCCGCGTGGAGATGACGCAGAGTGCCACAGACAGCGGGAGGGGGGGGGGGGGCAGGGGCCCCTCCCTCCATCCATCCCCCAATCTCCCTCCATCCCCCCCCTCCCCCTCCCACCTTCCCCCTCCCTCCCTCCATCCCCCCCTCCCTCCATCCCCCTCTCATCCCCCCCTCTCCCCCCCACTTTCCCCCTCCCTCCATCCCCCCCTCTCCCCCCCACCTTCCCCCTCCCTCCCTCCACCCCCCTCCCTCCATCCCCCCCTCCCTCCATCCCCCCAATCTCCCACCTCCCCCCCTCTCCCTCCATCACCCCCTCCCTCCCCCCTCCCTCCCCCCTCCCTCCCTCCTTCTCTACCAAAGCCCCACCACTCCGCACCGGCCGTGTGGCCACGGCGGCTCCCGCTGAGTGTCAGGAATTCTCTCCCCGGGGCGTCTCTGCGCCATGAAGTTTTTGCAACAATTTTGTTTCTCTCGTGTCCCCGAGTTTAAAGACAACGGCTCCGTCTCGTGCCCCACTGCGTCGTGATTCGGTGGGGGGCAGAGGGCGGAGCTACACGAGAAGTGGGTGGGGCTAGCTGGGTGGTGGGTGGGGCTAGCTGGGTGGTGGGTGGGGCTAGCTGGGCGGTGGGTGGGGCTAGCTGGGCGGTGGGTGGGGCTAGCTGGGCGGTGGGTGGGGCTAGCTGGGTGGTGGGTGGGGCTAGCTGGGTGGTGGGTGGGGCTAGCTGGGTGGTGGGTGGGGCTAGCTGGGCGGTGGGTGGGGCTAGCTGGGCGGTGGGTGGGGCTAGCTGGGTGGTGGGTGGGGCTAGCTGGGTGGTGGGTGGGGCTAGCTGGGCGGTGGGCGGGGCTAGCTGGGTGGTGGGTGGGGCTAGCTGGGCGGTGGGCGGGGCTAGCTGGGTGGTGGGTGGGGCTAGCTGGGCGGTGGGTGGGGCTAGCTGGGCGGTGGGTGGGGCTAGCTGGGTGGTGGGCGGGGCTAGCTGGGTGGTGGGTGGGGCTAGCTGGGTGGTGGGTGGGGCTAGCTGGGTGGTGGGTGGGGCTAGCTGGGCGGTGGGCGGGGCTAGCTGGGTGGTGGGTGGGGCTAGCTGGGCGGTGGGCGGGGCTAGCAGAGGGTGGTGGGCGGAGCTACACGAACAGTGGGCGGGGCTAGCTGGGCGGTGGGCGGGGCTAGCTGGGTGGTGGGTGGGGCTAGCTGGGTGGTGGGTGGGGCTAGCTGGGTGGTGGGTGGGGCTAGCTGGGCGGTGGGCGGGGCTAGCTGGGTGGTGGGTGGGGCTAGCTGGGCGGTGGGCGGGGCTAGCTGGGTGGTGGGTGGGGCTAGCTGGGCGGTGGGCGGGGCTAGCAGAGGGTGGTGGGCGGAGCTACACGAACAGTGGGTGGGGCTAGCTGGGCGGTGGGCGGGGCTAGCTGGGTGGTGGGCGGGGCTAGCAGAGGGTGGTGGGCGGAGCTACACGAACAGTGGGTGGGGCTAGCTGGGCGGTGGGCGGGGCTAGCTGGGTGGTGGGCGGGGCTAGCAGAGGGTGGTGGCGGAGCTACCTGGGCGGTGGGTGGGGCTAGTTGGGCGGTGGGCGGGGCTAGCAGAGGGTGGTGGGCGGGGCTAGCAGAGGGTGGTGGGCGGAGCTACCTGGGCGGTGGGTGGGGCTAGTTGGGCGGTGGGCGGGGCTAGCAGAGGGTGGTGGGCGGGGCTACCTGGATAGTGGGCGGGGCTACCTGAGAAGTGGGCGGTAGCGGAGCAAATGTGAGTGGGGGAAGAACTTGATCCATTCATCGAGCAGCGGATGTACAATGACTGCTGCCGGCTGATGATGTTGATCTGATGGAGTTTTTAAATCCTTTATATTAAGTTCGCTTGCTTGCGTGCTTGCGTGCTTGCTTACGACCGTGCAAATCTTTCGGTCGTTTTTTAACCCACTTCCCGTGATCCAATCGAGCTGACATTTTGCACACAGACTCGTTGTGCGAGACAATTAATTTGCGTGAATTTTTTTTCTCCAAAATTTTACACTGTTTAGGGAAAACAAATTAAATATTTAATTACCAATTGCTTAATACTGGCAGACAATCATCTGACCCATAGGTGGCAGCCATCTCAAGCCAGAGGACGAGAGGACTCTAGCCGCCACGCATATAAAGGATTTATAGTGAAAAACTTTGTTTTTACGGGTTATACTTGTTACTAATTTTCATCTCCGACAGAAGACGACGACGAGGAGCCGGTGGTGGTGACGCGGACTGACGCAGCCAAAGCGGCCCAAGCGCCACCTCCCGTTGCCTCCAAGCCCGAGTTGAACTCGGCCACTGAAGGTAGCGGAGCGCTTGGCGCTGCGACTCCCACGATGACGGGCGGGACACAACACCCGAGTTCCACTCCCGCTCACGGCCACAAACACCAGTGACGAGTATCCCGTAGACTCACACGGAGACCCATAGACTCACACAGAGACTCATAGACTCACACAGAGACTCATAGACTCACACAGAGACCCAGAGACTCACACAGAGACCCAGAGACTCACACAGAGACCCATAGACTCACACAGAGACCCATAGACTCACACAGAGACCCATAGACTCACACAGAGACCCAGAGACTCACACAGAGACCCACACTCACACAGAGACCCGTAGACTCACACAGAGACTCATAGACTCACACGAAGACCCATATACTCACACAGAGACTCATAGACTCACACAGAGACTTATAGACTCACACAGAGACCCTCAGACTCAAACAGAGACCCATAGACTTACACAGAGACCCACAGACTCAAACAGAGACCCATAGACTCACACAGAGACCTAGAGACTCACACAGAGACCCATAGACTCACACAGAGACCCATAGACTCACACAGAGACCCATAGACTCACACAGAGACTCATAGACTCACACAGAGACCGATAGACTCACACAGAGAGCCATAGACTCACACGGAGACCCATAGACTCACACAGAGACTCATAGACTCACACAGAGACCCAGAGACTCACACAGAGACCCGTAGACTCACACAGAGACTCATAGACTCACACAGAGACCCATATACTCACACAGAGACCCATATACTCACACAGAGACCCACACTCACACAGAGACCCACACTCACACAGAGACCCGTAGACTCACACAGAGACTCATAGACTCACACGGAGACCCATATACTCACACAGATACTCATAGACTCACACAGAGACTCATAGACTCACACAGAGACCCGTAGACTCACACAGTGACTCATAGACTCACACGGAGACCCATAGACTCACACAGAGACCCATAGACTCACACAGAGACACGTAGACTCACACAGAGACCCATAGACTCACACAGAGACCCATAGACTCACACAGATACCCATAGACTCACACAGAGGCCCATAGACTCAAACAGAGACCCAGAGACTCACACAGAGACCCATAGACTCACACAGAGACCCATAGACTCACACAGAGACCCATAGACTCACACAGACACCCAGAGACTCACACAGAGACCCATAGACTCAAACAGAGATCCATAGACTCACACAGAGACCCGTAGACTCACACAGACACACAGAGACTCACACGGAGACCCAGAGACTCACACAGAGACCCATAGACTCACACAGAGACCCATAGACTCACACAGAGACCCACGATTCACATGGAAACCCAGACTCCATTTGTCTCTCTCTCCATCCCCCCATCCCATCCATCGCACCCGCTTCTCCCTCTGTCTCTCCACGCATCCCCTCCCTCCGTCCGTCCGTCCGTCTGTCCGTCTGTCTGTCCGCGTGCCCCCCCCCCACCCCCCCCCCCCCCCCCAGCGTGGGACGCGACGCAGCAGTACGACAGCTTCTACCAGGGCCTGTGGGACTGCTCGGCCGACTGCGTGGACGAGCTGTCCTTCAAGCGCGGAGACCTCGTCCACGTGCTCAGCAAGGTGCAGCGCCAGAGGTCGCAAACGGGATTTGATTCCTTACCCGTAGCCGGCCGCACCAGGGTCGCAAACGGGTACCCGTACCCTACCCGATACCCGGCTACCCGTCACCGGCCGGGTACGGGTAGGGTACGGGTATCGGGTACCTGATTGCGACCTCTGGGATGAAGCCATGTTGCAGGCGCGGGTGGGTTGATTCTAGGAACTTGAATTGTGAGAAGAGACAAGACGTTGGGAAATGAGTGACAGGCGGTGACTCACCAGTGACTCACGGCCTACCCGTAGCCGTACCCGGCCGCACCAGGGTCGCAAACGGGTACCCGTACCGTACCCGATACCCGGCTATCTGTACCCTACCTGATACCCGGGTCTCTGTGCGTCTGTGGGTATATGTGTGAGTCTATGGGTCTCTGTGTGAGTCTATGGGTCTCTGTGTGAGTCTACGGGTCTCTGTGTGAGTCTATGGGTCTCTGTGTGAGTCTCTGGGTCTCTGTGTGAGTCTACGGGTCTCTGTGTTAGTCTATGGGTCTCTGTGTGAGTCTATGGGTCTCTGTGTGGGTCTATGGGTCTCTGTGTGAGTCTATGGGTCTCTGTGTGGGTCTATGGGTCTCTGTGTTAGTCTATGGGTCTCTGTGCGAGTCTATGGGTCTTTGTGTGAGTCTATGGGTCTCTGTGTGAGTCTACGGGTCTCTGTGCGAGTCTATGGGTCTCTGTGTGAGTCTATGGGGGTCTGTGTGAGTCTACGGGTCTCTGTGCGAGTCTACGGGTCTCTGTGTGAGTCTATGGGTCTCTGTGCGTGAGTCTATGGGTCTCTGTGTGAGTCTATGGGTCTCTGTGTGTGAGTCTACGGGTCTCTGTGTGAGTCTACGGGTCTCTGTGTGAGTCTATGGGTCTCTGTGTGAGTCTGTGGGTCTCTGTGTGTGAGTCTACGGGTCTCTGTGTGAGTCTATGGGTCTCTGTGTGAGTCTACGGGTTTCTATGTGAGTCTACGGGTCTCTGTGTGAGTCTATGGGTCTCTGTGTGAGTCTATAGGTCTCTTTGTGTGAGTCTATGGGTCTCTGTGTGAGTATATGGGTTTCTGTGTGAGTCTATGGGTCTCTGTGTGAATCTATGGGTCTCTGTGTGAGTCTATGGGTCTCTGTGTGAGTCTATGGGTCTCCATGTGAGTTTATGGGTCTCCGTGTGAGTCTATGGGTCTCTGTGTGTGAGTCTATGGGTCTCTGTGTGAGTCTATGGGTCTCTGTGTGAGTCTATGGGTCTCTGTGTGTGAGTCTATGGGTCTCTGTGTGAGTCTATGGGTCTCTGTGTGAGTTTATGGGTCTCTGTGTGAGTCTATGGGTCTCTGTGTGAGTCTATGGGTATGTGTGTGAGTCTACGGGTCTCTGTGTGAGTCTATGTGTGAGTCTATGGGTCTCTGTGTGAGTCTATGGGTCTCTGTGTGAGTCTATGGGTCTCTGTGTTCGTCTATGGGTCTCTGTGTTCGTCTATGGGTCTCTGTGTGAGTCTATGGGTCTCTGTGTGAGTCTATGGGTCTCTGTGTGAGTCTACGGGTCTCTGTGTGAGTCTATGTGTCTCTGTGTGAGTCTACGGGTCTCTGTGTGAGTCTACGGGTCTCTGTGTGAGTCTATGGGTCTCTGTGTGAGTCTATGGGTCTCTGTGGGTCTCTGTGTGAGTCTATGGGTCTCTGTGTGAGTCTACGGGTCTCTGTGTGAGTCTATGTGTCTCTGTGTGAGTCTACGGGTCTCTGTGTGAGTCTACGGGTCTCTGTGTGAGTCTATGGGTCTCTGTGTGAGTCTATGGGTCTCTGTGGGTCTCTGTGTGAGTCTATGTGTCTCTGTGTGAGTCTACGGGTCTCTGTGTGAGTCTACGGGTCTCTGTGTGAGTCTACGGGTCTCTGTGTGAGTCTATGGGTCTCTGTGGGTCTCTGTGTGAGTCTATGTACGTGTGTTGAACTTCTTTCGCATCGTACGTAGCCAACCGTGCTCAACGAAGGTGCACGGGGGAAGGACAACAGACGGAGCAGTTCTCAAGTAATGAGTTGACGGTCGTCTCAGCCTGGCCACCGACGCACGGAAAAGCCACCGTGACATTTTTGAGTGGTTTGCAATTCCATTGAGCGAACTCGAGCCGTGAGAAATGAGAGGCGTAGTGTTCCGACTGCGACGCGACACACACACACAGCCCCGTGTCCGAGGGACAGGACCCACCACTCACTCTCAGTCTCTCTCTCTTTCTCTGAGGTCAGCCCAAGCATTATCCTTCACTCGTCATCTTCCCACAGACTGTGTCCCTACAGCGATGAGACTCATTCGTCAACGTTCGATCCGAATCACGCAACGCCTACCCTCCCTCCCTCCCCTCCCCTCCATCCCTCCTTCACCTCCCCTCCTTCCCTCCCCTCCTTCCCGACCTCCTGTATACCAGGCGAGGTAGTTAACATCTCCTAGCCACCGTGATGATGATGAGAGAGAGAGACACGAAAACTCCAAATATACAGCAGCAGGCGTCAGGGTCGGGATCGAACCCACGACCCCCTGTAGACCAGGCGAGGTAGTTAACATCTCCTAGTCCTAGCCACCGCGACCCTTGACGAAGCGTACCTAACCCACCCCCCACCACGTGCCCCCCCCCCCACCCCCTCTGCCCCCCCCCCCATACAAGGAGTACGATGCGTTCCGCTGGTGGGTGGGAGAGGCCAATGGATCCGTGGGCCTGGTCCCCAAGGACTACCTGATGGCGGCCTACGACACCTAGAGCACCGCACGTGGATTTTCCCGCACGCGGATTCTCCGCGGCCATACCCGTACCCTACCCGATACCCGTACCCTACCCGATACCCGTACCCTACCCGATACCCGTACCCTACCCGATACCCGGCTACCCGATACCCGTACCCTACCAGATACCCGTACCCTACCCGATACCCGTACCCTACCCGATACCCGTACACTAACCGATACCCGTACCCTACCCGATACCCGGCTACCAGATACCCGTAACCTACCCGATACCCGTACCCTACCCGATACCCTGCTACCCTACCCGATACCCGTACCCTACCCGATACCCGGCTACCCATACCCGATACTCGTACCCTACCCGATACCCGAACCCTACCCGATACTCGTACCCTACCTGAGACCCGTACCCTACCCGAGACCCGTACCCTACCCGAGACCCGTACCCTACCCGAGACCCGTACCCTACCCGATACCCGGCTACCCATACCCGATACCCGTACCCTACCCGATACCCGAACCCTACCCGATACCCGTACCTACCCGATACCCGTACCCTAGCCGATACCCGTACCCGACCCGATACCCGTACCCTACCCGATACCCGGCTACCCGATACCCGTACCCTACCCGATACCCGTACCCTACCCGAGACCCGTACCCTACCCGAGACCCGTACCCTACCCGAGACCCGTACCCTACCCGATACCCGGCTACCCGTACCCGATACCCGGCTACCCTACCCGATACCCGTACCCTACCCGATACTCGGCCGGGTAGGGTATGGGTACCCGTTTGCGACCCTGGTGCGGCCGGGTACGGCTACGGGTAGGCCGTGAGTCACTGGTGAGTCACCGTTTGTCACTCATTTCCCAACGTCTTGTCTCTTCTCACAATTCAAGTTCCTAGAATCAACCCACCCGCGCCTGCAACATGGCTTCACCCCAGAGGTTGCAATCGGGTACCCGATACCCGTACCCTACCCGATACCCGGCCGGGTACGGGTAGCCAGGTATCGGGTAGGGTACGGATACAGGTACCCGATTGCGACCCTGGTGCGGCCGGGTACGGGTACGGGTAAGGAATCAAAACCCGTTGCGACCTCTCCCCCAGAGCCCAAATAGTGACAACACCACCCCCATCCTCGTCGTGCTGATGCTGCTGATGCTGATGCTGCTGCTGATGCTGCTGCTGATGATGCTGCTGCTGATGCTGCTGCTGCTGATGCTGCTGCTGATGCTGCTGCTGCTGATGCTGCTGCTGATGCTGCTGCTGCTGATGATGCTGCTGCTGCTGATGCTGCTGCTGCTGATGCTGCTGCTGATGCTGCTGATGATGATGTTGCTGATGCTGATGCTGCTGATGCTGCTGATGATGCTGATGCTGCTGATGCCGATGTCACAAACCCCGCAGCGGCTTCAGACGGCGTGGGAGGCCCGTCGTCCAGCCCACGCCGACCGATGTCTTGTCGACGCAGAGAGTGGCCCACGCCATGCCGGATTATCGCAGTCGCAAGAGTAGCTACATATGTAGTAGTAGCTACTACACGTGTAGTAGCTGCATAAGTAGTAGCTAGCTACTACACGTGTAGTAGCTACTACTTGTGTAGTAGTAGCTACTACTACATGTGTAGTAGCTACTACTACACATGTAGTACATATGTAGTAGCTACTACACGTGTAGTAGCTACTACTACATATGTAGCTACTATCGTATCTACTACACGTGTAGTAGCTACATATGTAGTAGCTACTACACGTGTAGTAGCTACTACTTGTGTAGTAGCTACTGCATGTAGTAGTAGCTACTACACATGTAGTAGCTACTACTACATGTATTAGTAGCTACTACATGTGTAGTAGCTACTACTACATATGTAGTAGCTACTACATATGTAGTAGTAGCTACATATGTAGTAGCTACTACATGTGTTAGACTCATACAGAGACCCATAGCTACTACTACATAAGTAGTAGTAGCTACTACTACTTATGTAGTAGTAGCTACTATATATGTAGTAGTAGCTACTACTACTTATGTATATATGTAGTAGTAGCTACTACTATATATGTAGAAGCCACGGACTCCGCACTTTCAAGAGCCCCGCGCTGAATGCTTTCAAGCTATCAATTACGGTTCAGTGATTCTGCACTTGCTATATCACTATAGTACTATACCGCCTTCAACTTTTATGAACGACTGGGTGTTTAAGGTTAGCGATTTGTCGTATTTGGCTGTATAGCGAATAAAAAATGCAATGACTTTACTCTGCAAACAAAAAATTTGTGTTTTAATATTTGTGTGTTTATTTATTTGTTTAGGGCCCCTTTATAACATCATAACCTACAGGCCCCGCACTCAGCTTCATCCTGCACTGGGCCTGCGCCTCTGAAACTGAGTCAAGAAAGTCAAACCGTGACCCTGACCCTCCAACATTGACCCTGATCCCGGTGCTGACCCACAACCCCCCCCACCACCCACCCCACCAGCCACCCCACTACTACCACCACCCACCACCCACCACCACCACCTCCCCCACCACCACCCCCCCCACAACACCCCCACCACCAAACTCCACCGCCTCCCCCCCCCCTACCACCCACTCCACCAGCCACCCCACTACTACCACCACCACCATCCACCACCCCCACCACCACAACCACCCCCCCACGACACCCCCACCACCAACTCCACCACCCCCCCCCCCACCACCACTCCCAGCACCTCCCCCACCACCAAACCCCACCACCCCCACCACCTCCTCACCACCCCCCACCATCAAACCCCACCACCCCCCCACCACCACCCCCCCACCACCATCACCACCCCCACCACCCCCCCCCACCACCATCCACCCCGACCACCCCCCCACCACCACCCCCACCACCCCCACCACTTCCCCCACCACCCCCCACCACCCCCCCCACCACCTCCCCCACCACCACCCACCACCTCCCTCACCACCTCCCCCACTACCCACCACCCCCCCACCACCCCACCACCACCCCCCCCCACCACCACACCACCCCCACCAAACCCCACCACCCCCCCACCACCAAACCCATCACCTCCCCCACCACCACCCCCACCACCCCCCCACCACCACCAAACCTCACCACCACCCCCACCACCCCCCCCCCCCCACCACCACCACCACCACCCCATCATCCTCGCAACAGCAGCGGCAGCAGCGGCGTCTTTTGCTCAGCCACGTGACAAAGACGACGCTCGCGCGCTCCTGCGGCCGTCTGGAACGTTCTGCCTTCCGCCAACAAACGGCAGCATTGGGACCCGACATGGAGCGGGGTGGGGGTTGAGGGGGAGGGGAGGGGAGACCCTTTAATGGCATCATTAGTGTGCCGCCTTGACCTGCCCACAGGGCTTCGAGCCGAGGTTGGGCTCTGGCAGGATAACTTAATTGAGAGATTAATTAGGGCAGAGAATTAAGTTAGGCGAGAGCTAATTGCCCTCGGGGCGAGTTGTGGGGTTGCGTTTGCTGCAGGGATGAGGGGGTGTTTGGAGGAGGAGGGGGGAGGGGGGGGGTCGACAAATTGTGAACAATCGTCAACTCATCTTTTTGGTTCTTTCGGTAAAGTCACGTAGAAGGGAAGTAATACGTTATGTGGAATCCCTCCCCGTAGAGGCGGTTAAATTTCGATTTAAAGCGTTCGTGACTGCAGGGATTGCACGTAACTTATTACTTCCTTTCTACGTGACTTTACCGAAAGAACCAAGAAGATGAATCCCTGCAGTCACGAAAGCTTTAAATCGAAATCGTCAACTCGCTTTTTGCGGTTTTTGCTCTCCACGTGGGTTTGTGTTTGCTGGGAGCTGCGTTGAGCTCAGTTGTGTCTCGACTTGGACGAGGACTGTGCGTGTTGTGCTGCGTAGCCAATGGTCACATCGAGAAGGCGTCCTCGCTACACAGACTCGCACAGAGACCCACAGACTCGCACAGAGACCCATAGACTCACACAGAGACCCATAGACTCACACAGAGACCCACAGACTCGCACAGAGACCCATAGACTCACACAGAGACCCATAGACTCACACAGAGACCCACAGACTCACACAGAGACCCACACTCACTCAGAGACCCATAGACTCACACAGAGACCCACATTCACACAGAGACCCATAGACTCACGCAGAGACCCATAGGCCCACACCGAGACCCATAGACTCACACAGGGACCCACAGACTCACACAAAGACCCACACTCACACAGAGACCCGCAGACTCACACAAAGACCCATAGACTCACACAGAGACCCATAGACTCACACAGAGACCACACTCACACAGAGACCCGCAGACTCACACAGAGACCCATAGACTCACACAGAGACCCACATACACAGAGACCCACAGACTCACACAGAGACCCACAGACTCACACAGAGACCCACAGACTCACACAGAGAGTCACAGACTCACACAAAGACCCATAGACTCACACAGAGACCCACAGACTCACACAGAGACCCACAGTCTCACACAGAGACCCACACTCACACAGAGACCTACAGACTCACACAGAGACCCATAGACTCACACAGAGACCCACAGACTCACACAGAGACCCGCACACTCACACAGAGACCAACAGACTCACACAGAGACCCACATTCACACAGAGACCCATAGACTCACACAGAGACCCACAGACTCACACAGAGACCCGCACACTCACACAGAGACCTACAGACTCACACAGAGACCCACATTCACACAGAGACCCATAGACTCACACAGAGACCCACAGACTCACACAGAGACCCACAGACTCACACAGAGACCCGCACACTCACACAGAGACCAACAGACTCACACAGAGACCCACAGACTCACACAGAGACCCGCAGTTTCATGTGCCGTGTCGGCCTTCATAGGTGGTGCTACTCACGAACAGCACTTGACCCCAAGGGTCTGTTACAGGCTATACGGGGCACCTTTTTCTGTGTCGCTAAAATAAAGAAAATGATCCCCCATAAAGCCTTAACAGACTCCATACTCGTTGGTTCTTTCGGTAAAGTCACGTGGGTAGAAAAATAATACATCACGACGTTTCGATCGCAAAACAAGCAAATCGTCATCAGAGTGGCACAACCACAGCAAGAAAAAACTGCTGAACCTTAGACAGATTTTAAATTTCGATTTAAAGCTTTCGTGACTGCAGGGATTCATCTTCTTGGTTCTTTCGGTAAAGTCACGTAGAAGGGAAGTAATAAAATAATAAAACTAAAACATAATAAAAAAAAGCATAATAAAATTGTATTATGTTTCATTTTTATTATTTTATTACTTCCCTTCTACGTGACTTTACCGAAAGAACCAAGAAGACTTAGACAGACAGTAGGGGCAAGTGCTGTTAGCGAGCGCCTATGAAGACCGGCACGGCAAACGAGGGAGTGGGTGGCCAGCACCCACGCCCGGCCGCCTTTGTCTCCCCCAGTGGCGATGTTTACTACACACCGCACCAGGTACTCATTTGAGGCCGAGTCGACTTAGGGGGGGGCCAGGATCAGTTCAGATAATCGTCACCGGTGTTGGTGGCCGTGAGCGGGAATCGAACTCGGGTGGCCGGGGTTCGTAGCGCTAACCGCTGCACCACCGCTCCCCCCACACACACAAACCACGCATCCACTCGGCTCCCCATCCATCCCCAGAATTAAACGAGGAAACTTCTCCGGCCTTTCTTTTCCTCTCTCTCTCTTCCGTGTCCCTTTTACTTACCCGGCACGCCAAGGTTAATTTGATTTCCGTGACTTTGAGAGGGTGGGGTGGGGTGGTGGTGGTGGTGGTGGAGGAGGAATCGCACTAATTGAACCCCCTTAATGAAGCCGCTTTGAGAAATTAAGGAGGCAGCAATTTTATCGCACGCATCCACACGCCGCGTGTTTTACGAACACCTTTTTCTGCCACCGCTGCTGCTTCTGTTGAAGAGGAGGTGGGATGATGATAATGATGGTGGGGGAGTGTGGAGGGTGGTGGGGGGAGAGCAGCCCCTCCCCTCCACCCCCCACGACTTCTTTAAATAATAATACTTTTTTTATGCGCCGAGCGAGAGATAAATTAGGATAATTA